GCAAACAAGTTTTCCTCTTGACTCTCTTCTCCTTCCTCCCTACCTAGGCAACTCAGAATCTGGTTCTAGTTTGTATTTACAGTTAGGTTCTGGCCTTTGGTGCAAGACTTTCTGGTGGGGGTGACTCTTGAGCTGAGAAGGCATCCACCAGGCTGGTATGTTACATAAGCATTACATTCACTTGTACAGTGCCTTCTGGCAGAAGATGTCTTCTCCCTATGCATTTGGTCCTGACAAAAACCATGTGAGGTAAGTAGCGATACAGTTGACTCTTGAACAATGAGGGGCTTTGTGGAGCTGACACCCCATGCAGTCGAAAATCCCCACTTTGAACCCCCAAAACTCAATTGCTAATAGCCCACTGTTGACTGGAAGCCTTACCCATAATATAAATACTCAATTAACACATATTTTGTATGTTGTATGTATTATATGCTGATTCTTACAATAAAGTAACATGGAATAAAAAGATTTCACTAAGGAAATCATAAGAGAAAAGCTATTTACTATTCAGTAAATGGAAGTGGATCATTATGAAAGTCTTCATCCTCACCATCTTTACATTGCATAGGCTGAGGAGGAGGAGAAAGAGAAAGGGTTGATCTTGCTGTCTCAGAGGTAACAGAGGTGGAAGAAAATCTGTGTAAGTTTCCTGCACAGTTCATACTGTGATTACTCATTCCCAACTCAGGTTACTCATTGTAAGAACTACTGCCTTTGCACAGAGAACCCATCTGTTCATAAACTGTAATCCCAGCACTTCAGGAGGCCGAGTCAGGCTGATTACCAGAGGTCAGGAGTTCAAGACCAGCCTGGCCAACATGGTGAAACCCAGCCTCAACTAAAAATACAAAAATTAGCCAGGCATGATGGCAGGTGCCTCTAATCCCAGCTACTCTTGTGTTGTTCAAGAGTCAACTGAATATATATTTATATTTATATACAGTCTACATTAATCATAATTTCTATATTTGCAAATCTGCCTACTCATTAAGATTAATTTTTAACCCCAAAATCAATACTTGCAGCACTTTTGCTGTGAGCAGAATGGCAAAAAATTGCAACTGCCCAGTGTGCACATTCCCAGCTGAGGTCAAACAAGGCGACACTCTGCCTCCTTGTTTCAGCTCTCACACTATAAACAAGTGTCCTTTTGTGGTCTACTTGGTACCACATTTTTCACATTTTTGTGCTTTTTTGTTTAGTATTTCACTGTTTCAAATGGTCGCCCAGCATAGCACTGAAGTAAGCCCAGGGAGGCTATGATGCTCCTTACAGAGAAAATAGCTGTGGTAGAAACGCTTCGTTCAGGCATGAGTTACAGTGCTGTTGGCCATGAGTTCAGTGTCAATGAATCAGCAGTAGTATTAAATAAGCTGTCTTTAAACAGGTAAGTTCAATGTCAATGAATCAGCAATAATATTAAATAAGATGTCTTTAAACAGAAACACACACATGATTATGTTTTATGATTGACAGAACTGTAACCAGAGGCTCACTGGAACCTAACCCTGTTATTTCCCCTTGGAGTAGTGGTTCAGTATCTGCCAGTGCAGTGTTCCCAGAGGCTTTTTAGAATACAACGACTGCAAATAATAACAATACAGGGCAGACTGGATATACATAAAATATATGAAATTTTAAAAATCGAGGCTCAGAGAGGAAGGAGAATCTGCCTAAATGGCCCGGATTTTATATCTGATGCAGAAGCCAGAGTTGGCCCTTGAACTCAGGTCTGTCTGAGTCCCTGCTCCCTCTGCTACCACCACTGCCACCCCCCACCCCACCCCCACGGCTCAGGGGTTCATGGCCTGATGACTTGTACAGACAATGGCCATTTGTGGAGTTTGGGTAAGGAGGACTAACTCCAGATGTCTTTCACCTCTCCTTTGCTAATGCTGCTCTTTGTTTCATCTCCCACCCTTTTTGTTCATTTGTTTTTGGATTATCCATAACCACTTTGCCATTGCACTGAAGGTCCTTCAGAACAAGTAAGCTTGCAGGTACCTCTCACTGCAAAGCACAAACCTTCCCAAAGAGGTGTCTAGGGAAAGAACTGGGCAGTCAGCTTGGAAATAAATGCAGTCAGTTTGTTGTTGTTGTTGTTGTTGTTTGAGACCGAGTCTCGCTCTGTCGCCCAGGCTGGAGCACAGTGGCGCCATCTCGGCTCACTGCAAACTCCGCCTTCTGGGTTCAAGTAATTCTCCTGCCTCAGCCTCCCAAGTAGCTAGACTACAGGCGCTGCCATTATGCCTGGCTAATTTTTGCATTTTTTAGTAGAGACAGAGTTTCACCATGTTGGCCAGGCTGGTCTCAAACTCCTGACCTCAAGTGATCCGCCTGCCTCGGCCTCCCAAAGTGCTGGGATTATCGGCGTGAGCCACCGTGCCCAGCCTGCAGTCAACTTTTACATTCAAGTTCACACATGAGCCAGTGAAAATTCCCCTACTTATTCTTTTTTTTTTTTTTTTTTTTTTTTTTGAGACGGAGTCTCGCTCTGTTGCCCGGGCTGGAGTGCAGTGGCCGGATCTCAGCTCACTGCAAGTTCCGCCTCCCGGGTTTACGCCATTCTCCTGCCTCAGCCTCCCGAGTAGCTGAGATTACAGGCACCTGCCACCTCGCCCGGCTAGCTTTTTTTTTGTATTTTTTAGTAGAGACGGGGTTTCACCGTGTTAGCCAGGATGGTCTCGATCTCCTGACCTCGTGATCCGCCCGTCTCGGCCTCCCAAAGTGCTGGGATTACAGGCTTGAGCCACCGCGCCCGGCCTCCCCTACTTATTCTTACTGAAATTTAAACTCTAGAACAGGGCAGGTGGGAGGAGAGGAGCTGAAGGAACATCTGCACCTTCCCTGACTCTACCTTGGCAGCCTTCAGTAATCCTGGAGAGTCTTACCCCTTCCCACAGAGGAGCAGGGACTCTAAGCATTTTCAAACAATCAGAGCCATTTTGTGGGAACTTAGATCCAATATATCCCCGTTCAAGGGTCCCACAAGGCTTAGAATGATACACTGTCCTAAGGATTTTGACAGGCGTGGCAGAGGAGAGGCAGGAGGGAGGAGAAGAAGAGAGGATTAACAAGTGTCTGTGAGGTGGCATTTACGTTTAGAACTTCCTTTCCTTTCAAAGGAATCTCCAGGATAGCCAAATAGTCCAGCTTAAATGTGCCAGCCAGAAAAAGTGCCCAAACCACGCAGTGAGATCACAGCTTTGAAGACCCCTCCTTGGCATAGACCCTACGGCTTTCACAAATAATGCTGAGCTCTGGGCAGCACCAGAACCTCAGGCTCTGACACCCTCAAAGCTGCAGGTCTCTAGGGCTGCTTGGGCCAAAGGTGGGTTCTGGGCAGCCCCCTTCCTTCTGGTCCATTTCTAAACCACACTCTTCCATGGGCATATCTGATTTGTAAAGCCCAGGGCACGTGACTGGGTGACTGAAAACAACAGAAATTTATTGTTTTACATTTCTGGAGACAAGAAGTCCAAAATCAAGGTGTTAGCAGTACTGCCCTCCCTCTGGACACTGTAGGGCAGAATCCATTCTTCGCCTCTTCCAGTTCCTTGGAGCTATAGACATTCTTTGATTTGTGGCCACATTGCTCCAATCTCTGCTTCTCTGGTCATAGTGCTTCTTTCTCCTCTCTCTGTGTTAAATCTCATTCTGCCTTACATTTATAAGGACATTGGCATTGGATTTAGAGCCCACCAGGTAATTCGGGATGATCTTCTTCATATCAAGATCCTTCACATCTGCAAAGATCCTTTTTCCAAATAAGGTAATAGTCACAGGTTCTGGGGATTAGGACATGGAACATTTTTCTTTCCTTCTTTCTTTCTTTCTTTTTTTTTTTTTTTTTTTTTTTTTTTTTTTTTTTTTGGAGGAGAGGAACCATTCAACTCACTGTACCTGGCTATAGATTCAAACCACCAATGAGGCTTTTTATACAAATACAGATATGGAAGCCTACTCAGACCAATGGAATTGAAATCTTTAGGGCTGTGGCGTCTAGACTGCATTTTGTTGTTGTTGTTGTCAACTTTCCAAGTATTGTGCTGCTTAGCCTGGCTTGAGGACCAGTGATTGTACAGTCCACCTCTTTATACAGGTGAGACCAGAGGCTTGGACAGGGGCCAAGACCTCCTCAAGTCACACTGCATAGGCTTGGATCCCCAGCAGGTGTTCCTCAGCCACTTCCAGCTGTGTGCAGCCCCCATCCCCCCCAGGACCCTTCAAGCTTCCAGAGCACCCGGGTGGCCAGCATCTTCCCCAGCTTGCTCTTAGCTAGGATCCTTATGAACTTTCTCAAGATTCAGGACAATGCCTGGCCTCAGATTTGATGGGTCCTCAAACAAGGGCCAGATCAACCTGCTGACTTGCTGCGTGACCTCAAGGAAGTCACTGAACTTCTCTTGTTCTAGTTTGCTCATCTTTAACATGGAGGATTCAGCTCATTGTGCTCTAAGGCAACTTTCATAGCAGAAATGCTATGATTTGGTAATTCTAAGCATCTGAGAATGTTTTCTTTGGCCCTCAGCCATCCCAGGATGTTTGATAAAATCTGATCATTTGGATAAGTCCCAGGAAAGGAGCAGATCAGAGCCTGCGTTGGGTGCTGGGAGCCCACCTGATGGGAGAGTGTGTGTACATGTGGTGGGGAATAGGGAGCATGGTAAAGTGTGGAGACTGAGAACTAGAAAGAATTAAAGATTATTCAACTTGTTCCAAATATAGAAACTGAGCCCCAGAGAAGGAGATGATTCGTTCAAGTTCATACAGCTAGTTAAAGGCAGAACTGGGATTAGAATTAATCCATTCCTGGGTTCTTTCCCCTACAATGAGGATGACAAATACATATCCTTTTCCGCCCTCTGATCAATTAGCAGTGGCTGCCTTGAGCACTGACTTCTGGAAGGTTCCCAGGTCCTTCAAAATTTGCAAGAAGAATGCTGATTGATTAGCAATGTCTGATATGGCCACAGGAAAGGAGAGTACCCAGATTTTGTCAGCCAGGACTTACCAGGACTTGTGACAGAACATAATTGCCAGTGGGGAACTTGAGGCTCCTTCTTCACAGAGAAACAACAGGTGAGAAAAAAGCAGTAAACTACATAACTCCTTCTACAGAAAACTCTTTTAAGTGTCTGGCCAAAAATTCAGAGGTGGCAGTCAATGCATGCTTAGGGGACCAGTTCAGTCAAAGTTTGCTAAGTAGCACTGGGAACAAATAGTATTGCAAACTATGAAAAGGGAAGCAGAACAAGCAAGGTAGAAACACATTGTACAATGTGCACCAGAAGTTTTTGTTGTATTTTTTAATGTTGCTCCAACTGTAATATCACTGCTTAGATGGAGACAGTGAAATTAATTGATTTACTTTCAGGAGCATAGTTGCAAAGTTGTATGTAAAACTATACGAACATATGGACTTGCTAATTTCTCCATGCCTAGATTTAATTCTAGTCAATAATAATAACAACAATAGCTATGTCATTTAATCCTCACAACAACCTTATGAGGTAAATGTTATTATCACTGATTTACAGATGAGGAAACTGAGGTGTAGATGGACTGAGGGTCCTGTCCAAGCTCACACAATTAATAGGTGGCAGAACTGGGATAAGAATCTAACTTGTGATTTCAACATGTTCCTCTAATTAAAAGCTGGACCCAATCTGAGGCATATATGAGAACTCACGGAAGTTACTAGAAGTGGGGTATAGATCTCTTCAGAACTGGCCTTGAAATTTCAACTCTTCTTAATACAAAAGCAACATCATGGTCTTTCCCTTGTTTTCATTTACTAGGCTCCAAATCACCAAACTTCTTTGCCTCTCTGGGAAAACTAAATGACCCACCACTTCAGAAGAATCTCATGGGGTCTGTGCATGGCTTTTCACATCCTCCCTGAAACACCAACACGCCCAGTCCGGGTTAAAGGATATCAGCACTGCCACACACTCTTCTTTTTCCCAAATTAATCAAGAAGTAGGAATTTCTGACAAATGCCATCTGCTGATTTTTCAGAGAGACAAGTTTTGGTGGTGTGACCAGCAGGTGCCTCAGCTTTTTCTAGCATGCAGTACCAAAATAGTCACCATGGCAACCCTGGGAGGGCAGACTTCCAAAGAGATGCATTGTGAGCACAGAAACTCTAGAGCACTTTCAAGCTAGAAGGAAGGAGGCTCAGCGGTGGGTTTCTAACAGTGGCAAGTAGCGCTTCTTCCCACAGCCCTGGGCTGGACCCCAGGCCCCTGCATACTGGGCACAGCCAGGACTCCCCGACCCTAGGGTGTGTGCTTCCAAGAAGAGGGGGGAAAAGGAATTTGTGGGGAGTGGCAGGCAGGTGGAGCAGACAACTCCCAGATTTCTGGCAGGAGGTAAAGTAGCATGGAGGGTGATAAAAGGTGCAGACCTGGGTTGGGAGGCAGGAGAATTAGGTTGAAATACCTGCCCTGTCGCTTGCTAACCAATGACCTTGGGCAATTGACCTTGCCTGTCTGACTCTCAGCTTCTCATTTTCGAAATGGGAGTGGTAAGCTTGCACTGCCTCTTCACAGGGAAAATTGTGGATATGATAGGAAGCTTGTGAAAACTGTTGGGAAAGTGCTCAGTGGACAGTGCCAAGCAGAAGAGAACAGGGATTTGGGGATCAGGAAGCTTGGGTTCTGGACCAGGCTCTGCTGCTTTCTAATCTTATGAGCTTGGGAAAGTCATAGAGCTTGTCAGACCTACACCCTCACCTTGGAAGAAGGTTCAGAAGCCCTGCCTCACAGAGAGGATGTGCAGGTTATCTGGGCTCTTTCTGTGACTTGGGATTCTGTACTCCCCTTTGGTGCAGACACCAAGACAGGATAAACCATACAAAGGATTTTACTAGTGGAAACATCTGTGAGATAAAAATGGGGAGGGAGCTGGTAGAGGCTAGGAGAGAGAAAGGCTAGGAGAGCCATCACACCTTGATGCAAGTTTGACCCAAGTGCAGGAGAGAGGGAAGCAAGGTTGGGTGGAAGCTCCTAGACTACCTATAGCAAGGCCATCAGAGAGTCCTCAAGCCAAAGTCACCTATCAGAGAAGTTCCCTGTCTCTTGGAGACAGTTCTGCCTTAGTATCCCTACCACACTCAGTTGCTGATTGTCTGGAAGCAGCCAAAAGGAAGAGTGGCCTCTACATAAATATGGGTGCAAGCAGCTAGAGGCCATGATCATCTGAGCTCCCTCTTCAGGAGACATATTCTTATGGCCACCACACCTACCCAATCCAGATGTTTTTAGCTTGGACATCCACATCAGGTACTTGGCCTCAGGCCCACACCTCTACTTCAGAAGCCTTGTACCCCACATCCATGGTCCTCTTACCCAGAATATTATAGGAACTCAGGCTCAATGATATCTTAGAACACCACCCCTAGGAAAAAATTTATTTTCTACATCTTAATTAGATTATGTAGCAAAGGTGCACAGTCATTGTTCCATTCTGCATTTGAATGCACGCAGGTGTAGGAATGCATGCTTATTTGTCAGTGTGCATGCATATGAATAGTATATTTGTATATATAGATGAGCATTTATATCTACGTGCATGCATGTTGTGAATTTACGCAACAATACCATTAGCCCATTAGCACTACATAAGCATTTTGCACACAATATCTTTGATCTTTACAACTATCTTTGAGGTAGATAAGCAGGTAGTGTTGCAGGTACAATCCTTGTTTCCCCCAACATGCTTTCCCCAACATGCCACTCAGATAATACAAGGTAGAGTCATGGTTTGAACCAGAAATGTCTTCCTTCAAAGTTGCAGCTCTTGTCCTTTCTGCCACCCATCCCCATCCCACCTACTCATATGTTGCATGAAAGCACATATGTGTGCATATATAAAAAAGATTCAGATAGGGGAGGGGAATATAGCTGGAGAGGTATAGATTGATTATGGATTGGTGACTGGTGAAAAGTATTTCTGCCAGAAGCCCCCACTCTCCAAAATGTAATTCTATTAGTGTGTGTCATCTAAAAACATATTGTATTCTAGCTGTAAGAATTTCTATTTAATGGGCTACAAAGACAAATTTTGGAGATTCTAAGCAACTCGAGTCTCTTATTCTTCTAGTATAATCAAACAGTGATCCACTTTCTTGGCCTTCCCCCAAAATCCTTGCTCCCATGGCAAGTTTTTCAGCCTACCTGGTGGAAATTGTTTTGTCCTGATTGGGAGGTATTAAAGAAAAAATATCTACTCCAACACCTTAGTTTTCCAAATCACTTGTCTTTGCTTGTTTCCCAGCAGCATGAAATACTACTCTGGAGAAACAGATTTAGAATCAGTTTCAATTGCCATTTATTGATCACAGGCACTATGCATACAATTTTCATAAATGATCATATTTGATTTTGATTCTCATCAAAATGATTTCTATTCAGCAATGAATAACTGAGGGTCTAATGGGTTAGGAGACTTACTCAATGTACCCTGTTAGTAAGGGGACATAACAGGAACTAGAGCTGGGCTCTGCAGAACTCATGGCCTGGCTCTTTCCACAGTATTCACATTCTCTCCAGGCAGAAGATACGATCTGCCCAAATACTTGCTTTCCAGGCCATCCACTAGCTCTGCTGTATCCTGGGAAACTGCAGGACCAGCCAAGCCCAGGACAGGGCTGCTTGGGGCCAGGGCAGGTAGACTTACCTGGAAGAGCACCAGCCTGGCTATCAGCATATCCACTTTCTTCCCATTTCCTTTTGCAGCCTCCTTCCTTGGTTCACAATGACAGTCCAACTTCTGCCAGTCCTGACTGTCATTCAAGCCTTTTTGCTATTTAAGAATTTTGAGGAAGAAAACCGTCATGTACTCAAAATCCTGGTAATCAGAAGTGTCTGGAGATTTCGAGCTGTTAACATAGAGAGGTGGCAAAAGTATTTTCTAGGACATCCTTATGGGCCTGAATGGCAGCGGGAGTCGACATAGCTGGTGCCTGGGCAGGTTTCCAAAGCACAGGCAAGGTGGAGAGTAGGTGAGGGCTGCAACAAAGGCCCCGACATCTGAAGAGCACTGCACAGTTTGTCAGCGGCTTTCAGCTCCACATTCTCACTTAGTCCTCACAGCAACCCCATGCAGTGACTGCTGTCACTCCTTTTCATGGCTGAGGAGACTGTTGGGAGAGGAAAAATGAATTACCCACTGGCAGGCAGGTAAGAGGCAGAGCTGAAACTCTCACGTAGTTCTTCCAACTCCAGGCCCAGCATCTCAGGATTGTACCCAAGTGGCTCTCGCACCAGTATCAGGGCCAATGGCAGGGTCAGCAGAAAATAGCAGAGGGGCTTGAAAACAGATGGGAACATCTGGAAAAGGTAAGGAAGTTGTCTTAGTCACTATAACAAATACCCTAGGCTTGGTAGATGAAATCACAGAAATTTAGTTCTCACGGTCTGGAAGCTGGGAAGTACATGTTGAGTGTGCCAGCATGGTTGGATTCTGGGGAGGGCCCTCGCTTGACATCTCCTTGCTGTGTCTTTACATGGCAGAGAGCAGAGAGAGGAAGAACACTCTTCTGTCTGTCTTCATACGGGCACTAATCCCACCATGAAGGTCCTGTCCTCATCACCTCATTACCTCCCAAAGTCTCCATCTCCAAAAACTATCACACTGGGGATTAGGGTTTCAACATAAATTTGGGAGGAATGCAAAAATTCACTACATAGCAGAAGTATAGAGCACTGGAGCCCCAGTTCATTTAGTGTAATGAATGTCACTATGCTAGGCACTGGGCCTGAACAAGGTCATCCAGATCCTTCCCTAAGAAGTTAGACCAGTGGATAAACAGGCAATTCCAACACAGAGGAACAAGCATTCTGGTGATGGAGGGACATGCAGGCTCTGTTGGTGGGTAGGGGAGGGCACCACACCCAGATGCAGTACTGCACCTCTTGATTCATTTTCCAAATATACAAAAATGACTTGGGGTTTGCAGAAGGAGTGAAAAAAAAAAACTGAAAGGTAGTTGCTGTGGGAGGAGAGATCCAAGAAGGCTTCCCACAATAGGTGGGCAGTCTTCTGGAACTGGGGCCCTGAAGGGTGGGTAGAATCCTGATGTGCAGAGACTTGGAAGAGAAGTATTGTAGCCCAAAGAAACAGCATGGTCCCTGCAGAGGCATGAAAGGGAAGATTCCTGGGGGTAATCACCCACCTTCAGAGCCTGTGTAGGCACCACATAGGGTAGGGTAGCAGGAGACACAGCTGGAAAAGCAGACAGGGGTCAAGTCCGGCCTTCCAAGGTTTGGACTTTATCTTACAGGCGGTGGGGAGCTGTCGGGAGCATTTTGAGTGGGGCAGTGACACTGCTGGCTCTGCATTTTGGAAAGGTGGTTTTCAGGGCAGTTTGGATGATGCTGGGAAGTGGCTGACAGGTTGAAGATCAGTCCTGAGGAGCAGGTCGGTGAAACATGATAGGGGCATTAGCATTCAATCCAGGGGTGTGAGCAGCGAGGTGGTCACCCAGGCTGGCTTGAGGAGCAGCATAAGCACACAAGCCCCAATCATATCTGAGGAGAAGTGCAGATCCACCTGGAGGAGCTAGGTTTGCCTTACATCCAGGAGGCAAGCTCAAGGCTAGTGATGAGCCAGAGGGCAGGGGCAGAGCAGATGAAGGGACTCTATGAGAGTGCAGGGCCAGGGTGGGACGCCGGGGGTGGGGGTGGGGGGTTGGGGTGTGAGGGCTATTGCTGGAAAGGGCCACAGGGCCCACACTGAATGTGAGTGTGCATGAGTGCGTGTATGTGTGTTGGGCTGTATGTGTGGACAGCGAAGGATGCATGGACATGTCCCGGGCTGGGAGGAGAGGGCACTGGGTTAAAGGGTGACAGACCAGGGAATAATGAGGGCCCCCAAAGGCCTGGAGGGGAGACACACCGGCAGGAGCAGGTCTTAACACCCACATGGGCACTCAACCCTTTGCCATCTCTGTAGCTGTAGAAAGCAGAGCAGTGAGCTTCCCAGAACAGTTTTGTTCCCTTGGTCATGCATCATACTGGAAGGCAGTGCCTGCAGCATCTCCCAGCTGTCCAGCTCAGGAGTCCAGCCACCGTACCCCATGCACCTACTTAGCACGTGATACCAGACACAGACATGAAAACCCAGTCTTAAAAAAAAAAAAAAAAAAAAAACTTGAATCAAACTCCTTTCTGGCACTTTCCACTGATTTTCTAGACATTTGTCCTCTGTACTCAGGGCTGAGGAAACCGGCTTGCCTGCAGGCTGGTCGTTCCAGGGGGTTCCTTTGAAAACTTCCTGCAGTGTCCAGGAGCGAGCAGCCTGCTGCACACAGGACGCAATGCCTGCTGAAATCCCACTTGAAAGTGAGCGGCATCGCCGAGACAAGCCTAGATCCTTTTCAGCACAGCGATTCCTTCCTTCCTCCCTTCCTCCCACAGCTCGGCTAGAGTTTTCTGCCCAGAGGAACTCTGTGAGAGCGTTTCAGAGTCATTCGGGCCGCTTGCCCCCAACAGGGCGACGCTGGCTGGCTGACCCCCCTCCTGCTGGGGGGTACTGTACCCACGGCCCGGGGCTTCTCTATTCCTCTCCTCCCCTCCTGCTGCTGACGCACGCTTCCTATAATAAGCCTCTGTTACTTGGAGCAGGGGCGGCTCCGTAGTAAGCCGAAACCGCTACTATATTTACACCCTTTCCACATTTAGACAAAGGCTATTTTTAACAGAAGGTCTATTTGTGGGGGTTGCCCACGTCACACTGTTCACATGCATCTCACCATCCTCAGTCTGTTCTTCTGATTTCACACTTGTACCGGGCCTCTCTCCTTCTCTCTCTCTCCTTCTCTCCATCATTTTTCTTTCGTTTCTTTCTTCCTTTCTCCAATTTCCTTCCTTCCTTTAATCAGATTGAAGTCTTTGGCAGGCTATATTGCCAGAGTCCTTCAGGGGACGGCGAGGCTCTGTCCTCATGGAGCAGAGTGGGCAGTGCGGCCACATGCTGGGCTGTGAACTGTTCTTGGCACCTACTGTGGGGACCAGCAGAGACCCCAGTCCCCAGGGCTCCATATTGGCCCGCTCTGCCTCCAAGTTTTTGTGAGCAGGATGCTGGGACCTCTCAGCCTGGCCTTTTCTCCTCATGCCAATCTAGTTTTATTGGTGAGAAGGAAGGGTGGGTGGGTGTGTGTGTGTGTGTGTGTGTGTGTGTGTGTGTGTGTGTGTTGGGGGAGGGGTAGTGAGCAAGGTCAGAGGAAAATAAGCCAATGGGGTCATCATTCATGCAGAACACCTTTTCAACTTAAAAGTTAATTTTATCAGATTTGTCTTAGATGACACAGTTTTTGTTTGGGTGAAAGGAAGTTTCATATTTCCTACACGCATAATCCACTTATGAAAAGGAGGGGGGATGCACGGAGTTAGCACATATTAAGTGCCTGCTGTAGTCAAGCCCTATTGGGCACCAGGGACATCTGGACCCTGAGAACGAAGTGAAGGGGTGGTCCTGCCTGCACCAGGTTTCAGATGACGAGGTTGAGGCCCGCAGAGATCTGGGACTGGCCTAAATTCACTTAGCTGGTAAGTGGCTGTGCTGGGACTTAAATCTATGTGTCTGGCTACAGACTGTGTGCTGGCCCCAAATCTCAGACCTCCCCCGTTGTTACCTTTTCAGCTCTCTAAAAAATCAGCGGTCTTCATTAACACTCTTTCTGTTATTTTCTTTCCCTAGTTCTGCTCCTCTCCTCACCCCCCACCCCAATGAGAAGAGACCTTTCCCACCTCAGAACCCCATCTGCACTTCTTTGGTCTACTTCTTCAGATGATGAGTCATCTGAAACATACACATGTCAGAATCTAAAAAGGACAACAGAAAAGGCCTTGCGGGCACTAAAGGGTCCCAGAGAAACCCCATGTTGTCAAATCTTGCGTTTTTCCCCAGCAGTCAATTTGGATTGTAGCTTCTGAGTGAAATATTGTTACTGCATTTCTGAGAGAGGAGAGCTGAGATTTGAATCCGCCTCAGACTGTGCTGGAAACAGAATACAGAGCCCATCACAGGATGTCCTGCCCTCTGTAGCCTCGTTTCTGAAAGTATCATTAAACATGTGGGAACCAAATGCCCCCTGAGTCCCCATATTCAAGCCTTTAAAATTGCAGATTCTGGTTCAGACATTTCCTAGAGACTCTGATAAGAGATTATTGTCTTCTTGGTGTCCTAGTGTCAGGGGTTCTGAGCCCAGGAGTCTAGCAGCTGTAACATGAGGCCAAGTCACATTCATCTCTAAAATAGAGATAATAACGTCCCTTGCCCACTCACCCACTTCACAATTTACAGAGATGTTGCAGTGAGACAATGCATGTGAGTGTGCTGCTGTGAAAGCTGGCAAACACGACAAGACTGCTAGTCGCTAGTGCTGATGTTTTCATCTTTAGTGAGGATGTGAGAGAGGGCTCAGGAAGGCCAGGTGACATGTACAAGGTCACACAACAAGTAAGTGGTTGAAATAAAGGCACAATAGCCCTGTGTCCCTCAGCAAGGGGCTGAAAAGAAATTACAGAGCCAGTGGAAAGGCTCGGGTGCTGAGCTTTAGCAACGCTAGGCTGAGCTCAGTCCAGAAATGGGGACACTGATTTGGGACGAATCCCATCACTCTCCCCAGCTGACCCTCCCTGCACCTTGGTCCCAGTGGCTTCTCAGGCTTCTCTGCAGCATGGGTGTCCTGCCTTGGCCAGAGCCGAAATCCCAGAGCGGTGAAAGAGGAGCCAGAGTCACGGGGCTTCTGGTTTCAGGACACACTGGAAAGGTGAGAAGGAAGCTTGTCTTCCCATGGATCTGGGCCAGACCTGGGTGGCGGGGCCTCCCCGCCAGGAGCTGGGACATTCCCTAGGTGCCCGGGCATCCCCGGGTCAGGAGGGCCACCAGCAGTTTTTCAAAGCATTAGCTTGGTCAGAAAATAAATCATTCAGCACTTTGCGGAGACCAAATGCTTTGTCAATGCAGGCAAAACCTGACCCAGAATCTGCAGCTTGGGAAGGCCTTGTGCTCACCTGGCTTAGGGGCCAGTTTGGGGAAAAGAGGCCCCTGCTCTTTGTACCTGCTTACTGGAGGAGTTGATGAGAAAACCTACACACCTTGACCTCCATGACTCTGACCTTCACATCTTGGCCACGCCCTTCTCACCACTACTACCCATCAGCCACCAACCACCAGCCACCAGCCGCCACTCCACCTCTCTACCCCAACCCTCATCAGACTTTCACCTGCTTTCAAGGCTCAGGTGTTGCTCCCTATGTGAAATCTTGTCTGGCCCTCTTTCTCCCAGTCAGGAATGATTTACCCCCGCTCCCTTCTCTGTGCCCTTAGTGTTCTCTGTGAATGTGGTAGCGGTCTCAGACCAGTCTGTGCTGGAGTTATCCTGGCACCCAGCCTACAATCAGAGGAGTCGTGCGGTTCATCCATGGAATTTGAGTCAGGCTTAGTTTTCACCTCTTCTGAGGGTGGAGCAGAGCCTCTGGGCTGGAGAGATACAAACAGTGTAGAAGATGCTATGGTGTCCCACCAGCTCCCCTTTTAAGGACCAATGCACACCCCCTGCCCCCAGCTGCTGAATGCCACCTGTTTGCCTGCTAATGACTCACAGACGCCCCCCTTCTCCAGAGAACGGCTCTCAGAAGACAGAAGCTGCATCTCCACGAGGTTACAACTTTCTCCCCATACCTGCTCCCCAATCGCCGCCACCACAGGCAATGACTAAGTGACACAGAAATGCAAAAGGGTAGTCCCCTCCCCTCAGGAAGGGACATCTCTGCAGTATGCTTCAGGCTCCAGAGAGTCAGTCCACTTCTATCCCCTCTCCAAGGATCAGCCCAAGGCTGGCTTTCCCTGAAATCACAGTTTAGGATGAGCAGCCTGAATTTCAGTTTTACACTGAAATTCCCATGTCCCATCAGTTTTGGGCAAATGGGGCTGATTGACTAGCTTAGACTGGGTTACCAGATTTAGCAAATAAAAATACAAGATACCCAGATATATTTGCACTTCAAATAAACAAAGGATACGTTTTGAGTATAAGCAGGCTTCATGCAAGACTTGCAACATACTTATAATGAGAAATTACTCATTGTTCATCTGAAATGCAAATTGACCTGGGCAGCCTATATTTTATCTGGTAGCCCGACCCTTGACCACACCTGTGTTTGTCTCTCTCCCTGCTCCTATCCTGCTTCCTTTCCTCTCTCCCTTGTAGGTTTTTCCTGAAAAGCACTCCCCCAGTAAATCATATGTACCTAAATTCCTGCCTCAGGTTCTGCTTCTAGGGAATCTGACGTAAGACTGTCATTAGTCCCTCTCTGCTGCCTAAGGTGACCAGAGAAGTCCTTTCATTTCCCCTGAACCTTGCAGAACCTTTCTTTTTGTTCAAACTTCACCTGGTCCATCCTGGCTAGAGTGGGGGAAATCATTACACTAATCGTCACCAGCTGAGGTCCTCCAGGTCCTCACAACAGCCCTGAGTGGTGGCTACAATTCTTAGATCCATTTTTAGATGAGAAGACTGAGGCAAGAGAGATGCAATAGCTTACCTGTCCTCACAGAAAGTGGCAGTGCCTCAATACAGAACCATATTTCCTGCCTCTTAGACTCTTGCTTCATCAGTGCCTCTCAGGGAATCCAGGAGAGACACAAGAGCAAGGCTTTAGCTTTGCTGATCCACCCCCACCCCCCAACTCCTGCAGCATTCGGACTTCAAGTTTTTACCTTGTCTCTTGTCACTGGAAGGATGGGGCAATTCTAGGTACGCTCTCTGGGTGACCCAGGGAGCTAGCCACTAACTTCACATTTGTGCAGAACTGGCTTCCCAGAAACCACAGGAAAATGGGGGTATCCAGAAATCCATGTGGCCACAGCCCCCTTTAGGAAGACTCTATTTTCATTCATCTATGACAGAACTAGGTTCGTGGCTTAGGGTCTGAGCCTTGATTTAACCATGAACATGAGAACTAGATTGACCTCTGGGGGATCATCCAGCCATGGCCCAGTGGGATTTGAAGTTTCCATAGACCTGACATTCATGTTAAGTACTTAACCTGGTAGCTGGCACAAGGTAGAGCTCACCTAACAGTGGCTGTAGGTAGTAGTATTTCCCATAAGCAATAGTAATAAGAACATCTGATTCCCCAGATAACACGAGAGTGATAAGAATATGTCCTACAGTGCACTCAACTAAACAGACTTCAGCTCAAAGCCATCCAAAGATGGAATGAGTCGCCTCAGAGGGCAGTGAGCTTTCTGTCATTTCACAGGGAAGAAAAGGGAGGGAATCTGTTTATCTACCTGCCAGTGGGAGATAATTTCCATCCATTATGTCTTTTAATCTAATGCTGAGATGTTCCAGAAAAGGCTGGATGGTGTGCCAGAAAAGGCTTGTGATGGTGTGCCAGCTTCTGAGGGACTGAACAAGAATGATGCAGAGGTCCCCCCTGACCTGAGACTCCAGGAGTCTCTAAAATGCTGACATCCCACATTTATGGTAAGACCAGTGGCCACTCTCATGTCCAGAAATCTGGAATATAGTTCCAGAATAATGTCACAGGCACCAGCCCTATGCTTTTCAGAACTTTCCACACACTCAAACCAATTAGAGACCCAGCTTGTGCCCCTGAGTTGGGGGGTGCAGAGTGGACACTGACCTATGGGCCCTCAAAATCCTCCTGACCCACAAGTTCCCCAGCATAGGAGACTGCACCAGGCCCACTTTCTTCTTGCCTGTCACCACACTGTGCCTCCCCTCTTCTTGAGCAGCTCGGCTCAGCCATGGACTGAGTCAGCCATGCTCAGTTGCCAGCCCTACAGCTGCCCGGCTGAAGGAACTGACTTTCTGCTCCCTCTCCCACAGCTGTCAAAAGGATACCCCAGAGTCCCCATTACACACAAACACACATGCGCGCGCACGCACACACACACACGCCCTTATGGAATCTTTGCCCACAATCACAAAATCACAGGGCTGAAAGAGACAGCAAGTACCTAGCAGATTCGTTAAGTCCAGGCCTGTCAAGAAATCCCCTACCAGAAGCCTCTGTCCACACACCTTCACAGTGGAGAGCTCGCCCCCAGCTGGTGTCACCCTTTCCAGCATTGAACTCCCCGGCCATTAGAAGGTGCTTCTCATGTCCAGGCGCCAGGCATCCAGGTATCCAGGTGACTTTTTCTGGCTTCCTCTCATTGGTCCTAGTGTTTTCAGGGATGGCACGAGAGTCCAATCTTGTTGGAAGGTGGTGTACAAAGAGGTGCAGGAAGACACATGGGAGGAAGTAGTGAGAGATGAAGTCAGAGGTAGTGAGAAACGTCAGAGAGAGAATTAGCAGGGATGTGCACAATCTAAAAGGGACCTGTATCCTGCATGCTGACAATTTTTCCGTTATGTTTTTTTTAAAATTCTGTTGCTCTTCAGCTGCATGGAAAACATGTCCACCCCAAATAACTTACTCTCTGAGAACTGCAGAAAAAATGAGAGTATTGTATTACCTATTGCACTGATGAGAAAAGGGTGATCAGGAACGGAGATCAAAACTGTACCACATGGAAAAGAGTTGAAAGAACTGGGTCTCTAGCCAGAAGAAGGGATTTGGCTGGTAAAGTGGTTGCCTCTGACAATCCTTCCTGGGGAAAAAAAGATTGGACCAATTCTAAACAGAATAAAGAATTGGACTTAGGACCAAAGGGTAAACCACCAGAGTGACCGAAAGCTTTCTACTAGACAGAACTGTCTAGCAGTTGTTAAGATAGTGAGAAGTCCCTGTCACTGAAGGTGTCTAAGGCGTGGGTGCACTTGATGTTTTATGTCTGACAGTTCATGACTTTTCTTTTAATGCATATGCACATCACCACCACCACCCCCAGCACACACACACACACACACACACATACACACACAGAAACCTGGCCGTATAAAGCCAGGTGAGGCACACCAGTGTGGGGTGTGCATCTCTCACTTGGCTTAGCTTTGATCCCCCAGAGATTTTCCCATTGCAGACTTGGTTGTCAGCAAGAAATAAAAGCCTTTCCTCTCTCCTTGGGAGGAGCGGAGCAGATTGTCTGGATCTGCTGCGTACTGCCCTGGCTCTGGTCTCAGCACCAAACGCGTTCCTTCTGCTCAGTCTGTTCCCGTTTTGACAATGCAGAGGGGAGAGCTGGAGAAAGTCCCACAGCCTAGAGTCCTGGCATTGGAGGGCGGGGCTTTGCTGTTGGACCGGACAGATCACATTTGCATTCAAGAAAGACTAGGTGGAGCCCCTTGCTCCCAACACAGGCAGAAAGTTTAGCTGGGATTGGCGCCCATCCTCAGGCATCTTTTGAAGAGAAAGTGCTATCTGCTGCTGTCCTTTCAGTGTTTTGTCAAGGGCAGAGCCTGAAAAAGGTTTTCGCAGGAGGAAACTTCTCTAAACCTCTCTAGCATCCTAGAGATTAAAATAAGTTATTTTTTCTCTGCAAAAGAGACAAGGTGCTCTGCTACCTGAGGGTGGAGTACTGGACCCTTCGTGTGATTAAGATCCAGAAAATATGCTTTTTGCCTACAGCGTTGTATGTCCCATTACCAGCCAGTAGTGATCCATGAAGCAATGTTACTCAAGGAGGATTCACTAAGCACCCACTCTGTGCTAGGCCATGCCTCCCAGGCACTGGGGAGCAGAGGTGAGAAAGATCCAGGATTTACCTTCAAGAAGCTTATAGTCCAGTGGGGGTGACTATCCCAAGCAAAAAAATAAAATCCATGCACTCAGGGCTCCAGGAGAACTTTGCTGTGAGTGCACTAGCTGTCTGGGAGCATCTGGGACGGCATCTGCAAGGAAGGGATGCTTGGGATGAGTTTTCAAGGACACACAGGATTTTATGAAGTGGTAAAGGGCAGCAGTGGGAAGGGATCTTGCATGCAAAGTTCTGGGAAAGATGTGGAAAAGCTTTGTTTATTTAAGGAACTATGAGAACTTTGACATGACCAGAGGAGCTACCATGCAGGCAGGGAAGTGCAAAGGATGAATCTAGAGCAGAGGTTTTAACCAGGGACAATTTTGTACCCCAGGGACACTTGTTTGTCACAAAGAGAGGAACAGCAGTGCTACGGGCATCTACAGGGTAGAGGCCAGGAATGCTGCTAAACATCCTACCATACCACCATGTGGACAGTCCCCACAACACCGTGATCTGGTCCACAATGTCAATACTGCTGAGACAGAGAAACCCTGAGCATGGTAGGGTGTTTAGGAGTATCCCTGGCCTCTCTACCCACTACAGAGAAGGAGCAGCCACACCACGAAAAAATGGAGCTCTGTTAGGGGCACTGTGCTTTCTGAGGGTCACACAGAGAAGGCATCCAGGGGAAGGAAGCCAGGGGAGTGCTGAGCTTTCAGATTCTGCAACCTGTAGTCCTCCATACCTGTGTTTCAGCTAGCCCTCCCAGCTTTATTTTCTGTACATATCTGATAAGCCTACATCCAGTATCTGCCTCCAAATTGTTGACAAAAATATTAAATAGAAAAATTTCAGGGCAAATAATGACTTAGATTCATATAAAGCTATTCAGTTTATGGGGCATTTTGCACCCTTCATCTCATTTATATTCATTTTACAAAACAGAAAAATGAAGCTGGGAGATGTTCTGCAATCTAGGAGTTATTTAACTATAACACATTCAGCTCCCATCTCTTCTCCTAGGGTGGTCCCTGAGTGCTCCAAGGACCCCTGCATCTGGCCACAGGGGATGCTGGGAGTACCCTCCATCCTGGCCTAAAAGGGCTCCCTTTCAGCTTCCTGGATTTATATCTTGTGTGAGTGGCTAAGGGCAGGTTCCCTGGTCTCCCTCTGCCCCTAGCTGCGACACTCACATACCGTTCTGACTACAGGGGACTCTCTCCCTCCCTGAGGCTGAGTTGGTAAGAGGACCTCTCATGGATAGCAGGCAGGGACAGCTGCTCAGCTCATGTTCTCTGGCCAAGAAGCATTACTGACCCTGTGATTTGGCCCTTCATCCAAACTGGCAGATGGGTACAGGTGCCTTGCCGTGATGCTGCTTCCCCTCGACCAAGCATGCCTGACCATTAAATCACCCAGTGGAGGACAGCACCAGTCAGCTGAGGGGTGGGCTCTTTCCAAGTGGAACCCCAAAATACTGCTAATCTGAAATGTCACTGTTCTCAGGGACAGCACGAACGAACCACGCCAAGTCACACACTGCAGAAACACTCTCAATAATCAACACTAGGTGTTCTAACAGTTTGTTCAAGCCTGTTCATCTGTGGTTTAGAAGTTTATAACATGACAATCTTTTACCCTAATAGCTTTCTGGGAACTGATTGCCCATATTCCCCATATTCCCAAAGCCATCGCCAGCTCCCAGCTTTATCATTCAGGAAAAAGAGCAAGCGCCTCCCCTTCATCCTCCTTATCTCCCACAATCACTAAGTACAAGCCCAAGGAGAAGAATCAAGGGCAGTGAACCTTCATCAAACAATAAAATCCTGCCTGGTGCCAGGCCTACCTGTGCCATCCAAGCACTGCCTGCCCTGTCCCTCCATTAAAACATCTTACCCTCACGGCTGGTGGCTCCCGGGGCACTGTCCTTTCCATGTCTCCTCCTCCCATCAGCACAGCCCAGTGGCTCTCTCCTGCTGCTCTGGCTCCATCCCTCTCCAATAACATTGCTCCTTCTCTGGCAGCGTCCAGCCACTTTGTCACAAGCTACGTCTGTGGAGAGCACCGACCCTGGCTGCAGGATGAGACAGATAAGAGGATAAGAGGGGGCAGGAGCAGACAAAGAAGGTGGCAAGACAGAGTAGGCGAGAGAAAGTGGTGGCTAAGTCTAGGGTGCTGATTATGGAGTTAAGGGAAAAGGAGGCATGAAAGCTGAGCTCGTGTTGAAAAGAATGTCAAAGGGAGCTCAAGCACTGGGTGGGGTGAGGGCAGAAGAGAGGTCCTTTCCAACCCTGGGGCCTTTAAGCAGTACGAGGGCTCCCCTGGCTTGGAGCCACGCCATGCCTCTGATCCTAGGGAGTAAGAATGTCTTTTGGGGGATGCAGGGCAATGGCACCCATTTCTCCATGAGCCACGTGCTTGCATCTTCCAGTGGGATACTCTCCAGGGTCATCTGGGTCCTCTTGTCTTGTGCTTGTTCATCACCTGAGCATGATTCTCGCCTGCTCAGCAGGGCGGTAGGGGGTCGTGAGCTCACAGCCCAGAAGCTTGACCCCTGTGGGGCCTCGGCATCAGTCCCTGGGACTCTGTGGCAGTGAGGCAGCCACATGGCGTCAAGTGGCTGCTCTGTGTGAGGGGATTTCTAAAAATACATCTGTCCTGCTGCTCACAGGGCTCACGAGTGCCAGGCAGACGGGACAGGCATGTGCAACCTGCTCCCTCCTCACTGTCCCCACCACCTCCCTTCTAGTTCGGGTTGCCGCCTCTTCTCACCCAGACTATTCCACCAGCCACCTGCCTGCTCTCCCTCTCCCCATGGCCCACCAGGTATTATACTTACTGAAAACACAGAATCCTGTTGGGAGACCACACCTCAGCTAAAGCCTATTCTCTCATTCATTCGCTCACTCATTCATTCAATCCTCAGCATGCACATTTACATTTAACATGCCAATGTGGCATGCTTTTTCGACGCCAGGCTTGTGGCAGATGCTACAGATTGGATGAGTGAAGCCAGACACAAAAGGATGTAGTGTATGAATCCATGTGTGCAATGCTCAGGAATAGGCAGATCTAATCTGCAGCAATGGAAGTCACAAGACTGACGACTTCTTGGAGGTGGCACGTAGCTATTGACTGAGGAAGGGCAAGGTGGACTCTCTGGGGTCTGGCTGCTCTATATTGTGATCTGAGTGATGGTCTCAAGGGTGTAACAAATTGAAAATGTACTGAGCTGCACACTTGAGAACTGTGCCTTTTACTATAGTATGTTAGAACTTGATAATTTTTTAAATGTATATAAAACATAATTCTGGTTTTGCTTTTTGGAGCTATACACATATCCATGACTCAAGAATCGAGGAGAAAACTATCAATACTCTAACAGTGCTTGTCTCTGACTGGTAAGATTATGGTAAACTTAATTTCCTTGTTGATACTTTTCTGGCTTTCCCAAATATTCTACACTGAATAGATCTTGCTTAAGTAATGAGAGTAAATATATTAAATGTTATTTTAAAAGTAAAAACCCTCGAGGTGAGACAATCAGCAAGCACGAGGCAGGTGGCTGTCTTCCCAGAGGGGCCAAGCCCACTCACGAGCTTTTGTCCTCTTAGGCAGCAAGGACACCGGCTTAGAGTCATGCTCCAGGTCTGTGAGATTTCAGTGCAGCTAAATAAAGCTCTTGGCCCGCTGTGGGTGGTGAGGTGGGGCTGCCGGTGGAACCCTCGGGGTTTTCCTCTCATTCCTGAGGGGAAGGAGGTTCCAGGGCTTTCAGAGCCTTGCCAGGCCCATTCTCACCCTGGCAGCTGTTTAGACTAGCCTGACTCAGAGTCCCGTGCAGTTCTAACCTCTTAGGCTTGGGACTGTGAGCCCCAGCCTGCCTGGAGTTCTCTCTTACGGAGGGGGGATAATTTCAGGACCCCTACCACATCCCTTCAGCAGGAAGGACCTGCCAGTGTATGCAGTTTGGGGGCACAGAAAGATAAAGTGAGCTGATGGTGCAAGTGAAAAAAAAATACATACATATATATATATATATATAGAACCCTGGAAACTCTAAGGAAGGAAGAAAATGGAACATGGAAGAATCACTCTGGGCCTTGGTTTTCCACCAGGAAATGGGGCTGTTGTGAGATTACCACATGAATAGCATGTAGAAAATGCTGGAATGGGGGCTCATTTTGTGTTCTGGTTTTGGTGACGCTTTGGGACATGAAGACCGGCTGCATAGCTGGCATGCTGGCCTCCTGCTCCAATTCCAGTGCCCCGCTCTCTTACTCTCTTGGCTACCACAGCCCGGACACGGCAGGGACAGGATAGATTTTTCCGTATGTGTGTCCGAAGCCTGATTTCTGCATTGGCAAACTATTGTGGTCATGTGATGAGGATCAGCTTGTGATTCACAAATGTATTTTGTATTTCTAACTTGGATCCTAAAAACACTTCCCTCTTCCCTCCCACCTCCTTCTCCTCTGCCCACAACACGAAGGCTCCCACAGAGATGTCATGTGAAGGCTTCTCAGGCTGAGCCAAGGCAAGAGCCAGTGGCCAGCTCTGCCCTGTGACACACACAGCCTCCAGGAGTCACATGGTCTCCATCTGCCACCACCTGCCCTCTGTCCCCGGTCTGCTGCCCTCTCCCTGGCAGGCTTCCTGAGCTAATGCTTCCCTCCAGGCCGCAGAGTAGCAGACAGTGGGACTGACGGACAGAGGGTACAGGGCCAACAGGCTTGGACAGTTCTCTTCCCAGCTGACCTTGGGGTGGGAACCCAACCGGGAGGCTCCTGGACACTACATGGTGTGCCCTGTGGGAGACGAGGTGCCTTACTGACCCGATCCAGAGGTAGACAGAGCTGTTGGCAGCTGCTTCCCCACAGTCAGCCCCAGCTCCACGAGCAGGGAGCCTGAGCCACAGGTGCTGAAATAAGGCAGTGCAGGGAGCCAATGGCAGCATCCAGTGTGCTTCATGGAAAGGCTGGAAGCAGGACTTTGCCAGGCCTTGGAGAGAGGGAAGAGGACAAATACAGGAGGCGTCATCTGTGTACATATTCACAAAAAAAGACAAACAAATCAGGGGTTCTCAATCAGGAGCTGTTTTGCCACCCAGGGGACATTTGGTAACATTTGAAGACATTGTTGATTGTGGAAACTGGGGAAGCGCTGCTGGAATCTAGTGAATAGAGGCTAAGGATGCTGTTGCTGAACAGCCTCTGATGCACAGGACAGCCCCCACTCCCGACAAAGAATAATCCAGCCTCAAATGATAGCGTTGCTGTTGAGAAACCCTGATCTAGACAGAAAGCGACCTTGCTAGGGAAGGTTTGAGCAGGACCCCATGAATAAACCCACCAGAGTGAGCTGCAGCTGTGAGTTCCAAGCTTGGAACCCTCTATGCCTATTTAGTGCCCTCAAATTTGAGCCCACACCCTTGGGCATAGGCACTAAGACTTCCTTTCATGATCTAGCCCTGGCTTACCCTTCAGCCGCATCTCCCACTGAGCTTTGGTTACACCAGACCATCAACATCCCAGATACTCCAAGGTCCTTGCCCTTGAGGAAGGAGATTCCATACCCTGTCTGGAATGCTCTCCTTCCACTTCTGTCTGAGAGATACTCACTCCCCGCTCCTTGTTCTGAGTCCAGCTGTGGCATATTTGAGAAGCCTTCTTTCGTTGTTATCCTGCATCTTCCTTGTTCCTGGGGTAACACACAGCCCCTCTTCCATAGAACATCACACAGGACAGATGCTGGGATGGCTGACTTGTGTATCTGTCTCTCCCACCAGACTGCGGGTTCCCTCAACAGGGTGAACATGAACAGTAGAAGCCACCAGTTTCTCCTGATAGTGTGTAGATGGGCAGATCTGGCCTCAATGGCAGAAGATACTTGGGGAACTGGAGAAAGTACAGAGGGAGATGTGAAGTTAACTGGGTCATCAAAAGAAGATGGGTGTACCACAACTTGTTTCTCCACCTGCTGCCCATGAACACTTGGATGGTTTCAGGTTTTGGGCTACTACAAACAAAGTTGTCATGAACATGTGCATACAAATCTTTGTGTAGACATATGTTTTTATTTTTCTTGGGTTAAATGCCTAGTAGTTGAATGGCTGGGTCATATGATCAATTTATGTTTAACTTTTTAAGAAACTACCAAACTTTTTTCCAAAGTCATTGTGCCATTTCACACTCCCACCAGCCATGTACAAGAGTTCTGGTTCCTCTGTATCTTCACCAACACTAGGTTCGGTCCATCTTTTTAATTCTAGCCATTTTAGTGGGTATGTAGTGGTATCTTAATATGGTTGTAATTTGTATTTCCCTAGTGACTGATGATGTTGAGCATCTTTTCCTGTGCTTATTTACCATTCATATATTTTCATTGGTAAAATATATATTCAAAGACAGAGTTTTGAAAATTATGAACATGGTCTTTGGAATCCATCAGACCTAGTTTCACTTTCTAGCTTGACCATTTACTGTGAAATTTAGGATAAGTGGCTTATCCTCACTGAACTTCATCTTCCTCTTGTGTAAAATGAGGATAAAAGAACCCAATAAGGTTAGAGTGAGGATCAAATACTAAATGCCTTTAAAGTACTTAACCCAAGGCCTAGCATATAAAACATAATGAACGTTATTAATAATTATTATAACATTCTCCCTCGGTCCAATTGGAATTATAACAAGCAAGACCCCTGGCATACCTCAGAAACTAATCTCTGCAGGAATTAAATGGTGTTTTATTTCCAGTACAGTAGATACACATAAATTTTTTTATCCTTAGGTATTGGAAATATGGAATTTCGTACCAGTC